TTAGATTGCATATGCATATAGGTGTAGGAATACATGCATACACTTACATAAGGTTTTTCCTCTCAAAGATTTGGTCAGATGACGATGTGGGGGACATAGAGTGAGGATTGGTCTGGAAAGGTTTTAGGAGCTAAGTTTAGATTGATCTAAAGAGTTGAATGGATTGTCGAGCGAGGTGTTCAAAACAGGGGTATCAAAGCTTCATGTTTCCTTCACATTGCATAGGACCCGTTGGATCACAACAAAAAGAAGACACCGAAGTGGAAGATCACTCCACCGGAAGAGATAACACACTTACTCTTTTTATACTCCCCACTAGACGAGAGTTAACACCGCGGACGGTGTTCAATTCAAGTCTGGGGGAGGAGTGTTACTAACACATTTCGATCCATGAGCCTTGCATACCACATGCCTTCCACACTTAGAGCCTTGCATTTCTGAAAAAAAAAAAAGTTTCCATCCTTTGCATTAAGTTGCACGATTAGATTGCATATGCATATAGGTGTAGGAATACATGCATACACTTACATAAGGTTTTTCCTCTCAAAGATTTGGTCAGATGACGATGTGGGGGACATAGAGTGAGGATTGGTCTGGAAAGGTTTTAGGAGCTAAGTTTAGATTGATCTAAAGAGTTGAATGGATTGTCGAGCGAGGTAGAAATAGCTGATCCAATCCTAGAGCGAATGAATATCACGTCGGATGATTTTGTCTCCTAAAGTCTAGATGGGGTAGAGGTTACGAACCAAGCACGAAACGTCTCCCTAAAAACTACCATTTGACCTCTAAGTTAGGAAGCCTATAGGAAGCAACAAGCCCTAGAAAACACGATGCATCCCGACACTCCTCTGTCATCATCTCGTTAATGAAAATCATTCGGGGACATGAGTGCGTCAAAAATGAAGGCTCGGGTCTAAGTTGTGGGACAAGAACACAAAAAAAAGAAAAAAAAAGAGAGTGAACTCGTCAAATTCCAACGTCCTAGAAGCCCGGGATTGCATCATATGAAAAAAAAAGGGGAAAAGAAAGAAAAAAAAAGAACACAAAACACGAATAAAAATGAAAGATATAGGGCAAGGAAAAACAGTAGAGTTATAGGCTAAGTAACTTTTGGGGATCTCATTTGGGATGTGTTTAGGAGGCATGCTCGGCAAGTAGGATTTACTCCACTTCTAGACCGCGGGAAGCAATGAAAATCCCATTGATAAGATTTCGCTCGAGTATTGGAAAAGATAGAGTATACCAAACCCGATTTCATTCGCAGCAACTTTAACCCGTACAACCAATCCACTCAAAACCCCCATTTGTTATCCGACTGTATCTCATCACCCCTTGGATAGTTTTATAATTGCACATTGACTCGAGGACGAGCAAACCTCAAGTCTGGGGGGATTTGATCACACGGATTTTTCACCGGTTTTATAACGTCGTGCATCACAATTCTTCTCACATTCTAGGCATCATAGGACGTTAGATGGCCATGGGTAGGTTGTTTTGCTTGTTTTTCCTTGCAGGAAGACTCCACGATGAATCCTCACGAAGCGGGCACGGAAGAACAAGAATTCGAGAATGCTCGGGTCGCTCATTTTTTGAGCGGTCGCTCATTTTGAATCCTCACGAAGCGGGCACGGAAGAACAAGAATTCGAGAATGCTCGGGGAGCTCAGACAAAACGAGCGACCCGCCCATTTTATGGGCGGTCGCCCGTTTTGTGAGCGGTCGCCCGTTTTGTGAGCAAAGAGGGATTTTTGGAGATCAAGGAGGCTAGGAGAAGAAGAGGACCACCATTGAAGACCATCTTGAGCATTTCTTCTCCTTTTCCATGTTTCTTCATTTTGCTTTCTGTTTTGAAACCCTAGTTATGGAGTAGTGATTTTGTTGTGGGTGAGGGATTCCCACTTTTGTATGGATAGCTATGCTTAATCTATGATGTCTTTGAGTTTCTTCCATGGGTTTGATGTTTTGTGCTTAATGCTATTGATTTGGTTGATACCCTAATTGATATGATTGTAGAACACATTGATCATAGGGATATGGGAATGATGTTTGGAACCAAATGTCAAATGAGTGAGTTATTCACATTGGGAGATGGCTTAACTTGCTTAGGGTTCATGATAGGGTACACTAATGCATCTAGAGATCATTTAGATCATTGGGAGATGGGTGAATCGATCCTCTAGGTAGTGAGTTTAAGCTTGGGAGAGACAAACTCTAGAAGAAGTGCTTGAAACCCCCATATGGAGGATAACCCATAGACATTGTAGCATCATTAACCATCCATGCGATTCTTGAGGGATCCCGAACCTACAACGCCTCAAACCATCGTTTTACAAACCGTTAATTTTACTTGCTTTCTTGTATTCCGACCCTTACCACAAACCACATTTTTACTTGACCACCTAATCTAGCTTAGAGATAGACTAATACATCCTAGTCCTCGTGTTCGACCCCAGTACTACAACTACTGTATACTTGCGGATAGTGGTACGAATCGGATATTAAATATAAGACTCGGTGCGTGCGCATCAACCCTTTAGGCTCCTCCGAATACGGTAGTAAACACGAGATCCAATCTCGCTTTACAAATCATAAGCGGTCTCTAGCAAGACATTAGGATTACCTGTATCGGAAAGAGTTAGATGTGATCTAATCGAAAAGTCAGAGATAGCTCCAACGATGATCCTCTTTGTCTCACGATATCATAATCGAATCCCGAGCAGACTGTAAGAGATAGATGACATTCATCTGTAGTGTGGCCACACATTTCTATAGTCTCACTCCTACGACGGGCCCAAGCGATATCTCTCTCTTTCGAGAGGGACAAAGTTCCATTTTGACTATCTACTATCCATTACATGATTAATAATGTACCCGAGCCATGCCTTTATAATCATCCGGTTAAAAACGACGTTTGACGCAGTCAAAGTACATTACTCGTCATGATGGATACAATAGATATCTCAGGTCTGAGGATCCAAAGTGAACCATCAAGTGAGATTCAAATCATGGATTAAATCCAATCGACAATCTCACGCGAGTCATCCAATCACTTGTTCCAAACAAGTACTCATGATCGTGATCCGTATCAAATACACATGATCATCACCATGATGATGATCATCCATCACGCCTCATGTTAGTCTTAATTCATCATTGCTCCCACAATGACAAGCGACTAAGGAATTTAGGATTGTTCATAACGATCCATGGATTTCATTATTTATCAAATATGCAAAATAAGTAATGAACAAACAATGCATTCATCCAATAAATACATCGTATCATACATAGTTCTCATATCGTATGATCATCCTGGAGCATCACATCCATCAGTATCATGCAGGTTCTCTCTACTTATAAGCTGAATAGCATTGACGTGCTCTCGTGGATTTGACTCGGGCTTTCCCGGGAATGTACCCTGTGGTCCTGAGACATGCGATGCAAGTTGTGCAATCTGAGTATCGACAAGCTTCAGATGAGCTTTGACCCCATCTAATCTCCTCTCAAAAGTGTCTTGCCTGACTTTTATGCTCTGTATCTCGGTTTTCAGCTCAGTGAATGATGTCTTCTGATCGAGCATTAGTTGGGCAAGCATCGTCTTAATGTCTGCTTCATCGTTCTCCGCAGGTTGAGGCGCTTGGTAACCCTGATTCTGCTGTCCGTATCCCTGATTTTCCTGTGCATATCCCTGATTCTGCCCTTGAAAACGTGACTGAGTGAAGCCCGGGGGATTCTGAGGGATTCTGGGAACACTCTGCTGTTGTGCGTTCAGTGCTCCGTTCGGGTTTTCATAGGAGAAACTAGGATGATTCCTAGGCGCGTAAGGGTTATAGAGATTAGAAGGATTCTTGATACACGCTCTGATACCAAAATGATACACGCCTCAGCCTCGGAAGTGTTTGTCTCGGATCAGGGATGGAGTCGCAAGCCAATCACCCGCTCCTAGGAGCACTCGAACTCAGCTTGGACGAAGAATGGGAATTGAGGGTGGAGTCAGGGCTAACTCGCTGATCCCGAGGGGGCACTCAAGTCCAGCCGCGATAGAAAATGGAAGCGAAGGGGATATGGGGTCGGAACTCAATCACCGGCACTCTAGAGAGGCTCTCGAACTCAAGTCCGACAAAGTATGGAACGAAATAGATAGGTAGATGGATAGAAACCTCGGACACACCAAGGGTACCTCGGACAAACCAAGGGATAACTCTCGCACACACCAAGAGAAGATAGGTTTCGGACACACCGAAAGAGAGAGTTGTTTAAACTCGAAAATACTTGATAGATTCAGCAATAGTCTGCCTTACATGACAATACAAAGGCCTTTATATAGGCTAGAGATTCAACCATAAATTAAATGAGAAAGTACATGCAAAGGGGATGGGAGCCTATGCATTTAATGGGATAGTTGGGAAGAAACTAGCTGTTGGTGATGACTTTAATGAGGTAGTTGGGAAGAAACTAGCTGTTGGGATTGCCTTGTTGATCCAAAACAAGGAAGACTCGTGGCTCCCATCTGTGGCTCGCTTAGCACGTGATGAACGGAAGTGTTGAAGCGTTTTGAAGAGCTCGTGCGTTGGCTCGAGTGAGTGGTAGCTCAGAATGAGGTGGCACTGAATTTGCTCGAAGTGGCACTCGGGTTGCATGAAGTGGCACTCGGTTTTTCTGAAGTGGCACTCGGTTTGCTCTAGTTTTTGGTTCGACTTTTCTTGCTTCGTCGAGCATGTTATCCATCTTTTGGTTTGGCTGTGTGTCCTCGCCTAGTTCTGCTCCTTCCAGCTGTGCTCCATCCATTTGAACTCCATTGTCTGACTCTTTGTCTGATTGTTCTCCATCTAGTTATGCTTCACATATGCTCCCTTTACGTTCCTTGTCCATAACCATGCCAATGGATCCTAGGAATGCATCATTCCCTCCCTCTTCTGAAGGTTTTGTTCTCAAAACTTGCTTACCTACATCAAACGGATCCAAGTCAGCATCGTTAAACACAAAAGACACATTAAACATACCTTGGTCTTGAGAATGGTGCGTCCTTCTTTGGTGCCATGGGCATTAAAGTGAACATGCTGCTTGGGTGCCCATTGAGTTGTTGGCAAGGGATACTCACGGCATGCAAAATTTGAGCTTGGAAAATGCACGTAGCTGCCTCTTCTTGCACTTATTTGACCTTTTCATAAAAAAAATAGTACTTGCGAATAATTAACAAGATCTATTATAACAATCTCGTTAGTGTAGTATGTGCATCCCTTGAGAACTTTATAGAGATAATCCATTTGGAAAGTTCGCATTTGTTGCTCAAGATTCATAACATACTCATCAAAACATGAATCATATACAAGAATAAAAGTAGGAACGAAATTACCGGTTGCTCCAAGTTTTTGACTTATGATAAAAATGCGGTTGTTGGTGATGTCATTTGTCATCGTCGAAGGTTTGCTTACCACTTTGAAACCATCATTTTCCTTCTTGGACGTGACTTTTATTTGCTCAAACCAATCCAATCGTATCATTCCTATGTCCCGTTTGACTTCGTTCAAGTTCTCGCCTACTATCACATTCTCCGATTTGTCGGCCTCTTCATTGCTTTCCATCACTTTCTTGTTGTTGGAATCCTCAATGATTTCCTTGACTCCGAATGCATCTTTCTTGACGTCATGCATTTCTTCATTCGCATTCACAACACTCGTGGGTACTTCTTTAGTCACGAGGTCGGGATCTTCGACCGGTTCCTCTTTCTCTTCGTTCACATACTCGGTTACCTTCTTGGACATAACCTCATATTTCTCTTCAAGATTTACCACAACCTCAACTATGGACTTTGATTCCCCGTCATCCTCGATGATGATTTCTCGTCGGTTGGATTCATGTGCCATATGACCTTGGTCCCTACACTTAGAACAAATAACCTCACATTTATGATTAATACATGAGGAAAACGTTTTGTTACCTAGTGTGGTGATCGCCTTTGAAGATATGGTTGATTCCTCCTTGTATCGAGCATCATGATTCTTCGCCTTGTCTTTGTCTTCAATTTTGACAAAGCTATTGCTTATAGGCTTTTGTGCTTGTGTGTGTCCATTCCTTGTCGGGCTTTTGTCCATTTGTTGCTCTATGTGAATCGCCGCATCCACAAGATCATGCAAATCATTATATACCTTTTGTTCTACCTTTCTAGCGATTCGGTCTTGCAAGCCATCTAAAAAGTGTGTCATGATTGCTTCTTCATTGCCATCGATTTCCAAATAATTGAGAAGTTGTTCAAATTCTCTGAAGTAGCCCTCAACCGTCTTCTTTCCCTGCACTATGTTACGAAACTTATATCGCAATTCACGTAGGAAATGTTGAGGAACATACCTTCTACGCATCAAGATTTTCATCTTCTTCCAAGTTGTGACCGGATCATAACGCGCACGTCGTCGATCGATCTCTTCTCTTTTCCACCAAGAGAAAGCATCTCCTATGAGTTGACTTTCGGCATATTGCACCTTTCTAAGCTCCGTCCCTTTATAATCTTCAAAAATTTCTTCCATCCGCTTCTCCCATTCGAGATAAGCTTCCGGATTAGTTGTTCCCGAAAATAAAAGAGATATCGGATCGAATTTGTTACCTCGAGTATGTTGAACATATGGCTGCTCATGGATGATCTTTTCTTTCATACCTTCTTCTTCAAAGTGTCCTCGATCATGTACCATTCGTTGCTTTTGGCTCGGTTGTGGATGACTATTAACGTTACCTTGGTATAATTGAGTCGCTTGATATTGTTTTGGTACATTTTCAAGGCGAGCGAGTCATCCTTCAATGTCTTGAAGAATTTTCAACATAGCACTTTTGTTTGATCCTTTGTTGGCTGCCACATTTGTCATGTTTTCGATCACAAGAAAGTGTCTTCAATTCAATAGTAAGAGAACCGAAGTAGAGAACACGAACACAAAACAAATTCAAATACGGTGTGAAAACTGATTTTTTTTGTTTTGGATTTTCGAAAACTTTTGAACAAAAAATGAAGAACACAAAACAATAACAAAAACGAAGTAAGGATATATATCACTGGGATTACTACGTCCATTGGAGCGTTGGCTCTGATCCCAAAATGATACACACTCTGATACCAAAATGATACACGCCTCGGCCTCGGAAGTGTTTGTTGTTGGGTTTCCTGGGATCTCATGAGCGAATCTAATTCCTAACAGATCGATTCTAGGGTTTGCGCAGCGGATATAAAACAAAAATTTTAATGAAACCCTAGAACCATGCTACTATTGAATCATAGAAACGTTAGAACGCTTACCTCAATCGATCCGGGGCCTGTATCAACTGAAGAATTCGTCCGATCACTTAGGGAGGAAGATTACCTCGCCCTCTACACGTATCCACACGTCGGGATGGATTCCAACACCTTGGAACTTGTCTGCTAGGACTAGAGATCTCGATCTCTCTTGTGTGCAAGGTTTTTTGGAGGCTTAGGGTTTTATTTTTCTTTTTTTTTTCTTCTCCTTTTTTTCTTCACTTTTTCTTTTCTTTCACTTAAAACCCTAGAAGACATTCTCCTTATATAGACTTTCCAAAAATCCTAATTTGACAAGGAATAGATTACTAGGAATCCTAATCTAATTAGGTTTCCTAAACCTATTAGAATTCTAATCTCATTAGGTTTCCTAGATGTAATAGAATTCTAATCTCATTAGGATTCCTATACATAATAGGATTCCTAATCCCATTAGGATTCCTATTCCAATTAGGAATCTCAATCCAATTAGGATTCCTAATCGGGATAATTTAGCACACGTACTTGTCCATCCCTATTGTGTGTGACCCTGTAGGCTCATTCGACATAGCAGTATAACCCGAAATCCCTATTTCGGGTATACAAGTCATAGGCGGTCTCTAGCAAGACACTATGACTACCTATCTCGAATAGAGTTTGTTTGTGATCATACGAAAGCCAGTGATGATTCCGACTGATGATCCTTTTGTATCGCGATATCATATGTCGAACATAAGGCATGGACAAGCCACCTTATCTGATTCGACTGCTTTCTCGTTCACTGAGTTTGACTGTCTGAAATAGACGACGTTCGTCTATAGTGCGGCCACACATTTCTACAGTCTTGCTCACACGAGGGGCCCAGCGATATCTCTCTCTTTTACGAGAGGTACAAATCCCGTCTTGACTATCTACAATCCAGTACATGATTCGTTTCGTACCTGATACACGTCTTTATAGTCCTCCTGTTACGCAGGACGTTTGACGTAATCAAAGCACGCAACTCCTCATGTTGGATTCTGTAGATATCTCAGGTCTTAGGATCCAATCATGGAATCGTCGTATGAGATTCAAGTCATGACGCTAGTCCATGTGACAATCTCATGCGGGTCAGTCCAGTATTCCGTTCTGCAACGAATACCTATGATTGTGATCGTATCCAATACCTATGATCATCTATGTGATCATCAATCACACATCATACTAGTCTTATTATGTCGTTATTCCCATAATGACACAAGACTAGGGAGTTTAGTATCATTCATAATGATACATGGATTTCATAACAGATCTAGCATGCAGGAACATGTAATGAACAAGATACTCTCATAAAAAAACATATAGAAAGTATCAATACATCGAATGTATCTGAACAAAGCTCATAATCAGTACATCATAGAGCACTAAACCAACAATTGTCTCGGATCAGGGATGGAGTCGCAAGCCAATCACCCGCTTCTAGGAGCACTCGAACTCAGCTTGGACGAAAAATGGGAATTGAGGGTGGAGTCAGAGCTAACTCGCTGATCCCGAGGGGGCACTCAAGTCCAGCCGCGACAGAAAATGGAAGCGAAGGGGATATGGTATCGGAACTCAATCACCGGCACTCTAGAGAGGCTCTCGAACTCAAGTCCGACAAAGTATGGAACGAAATGGATAGGTAGATGGATAGAAACCTCGGACACACCAAGGGTACCTCGGACAAACCAAGGGATAACTCTCGGACACACCAAGAGAAGATAGGTTTCGGACACACCGAAAGAGAGAGTTGTTTAAACTCGAAAATACTTGATAGATTCAGCAATAGTCTGCCTTACATGACAATACAAAGGCCTTTATATAGGCTAGAGATTCAACCATAAATTAAATGAGAAAGTACATGCAAAGGGGGTGGAAGCCTATGCATTTAATGGGATAGTTGGGAAGAAACTAGCTGTTGGAGATGACTTTAATGAGGTAGTTAGGAAGAAACTAGTTGTTGGGATTGCCTTGTTGATCCAAAACAAGGAAGACTCGTGGCTCTCATCTGTGGCTCGCTTAGCACGTGATGAACGGATGTGTTGAAGCGTTTTGAAGAGCTCGTGCGTTGGCTCGAGTGAGTGGTAGCTCAAAATGAGGTGGCACTGAATTTGCTTGAAGTGGCACTCGAGTTGCATGAAGTGGCACTCTGTTTTTCTGAAGTGGCACTCGGTTTGCTCTAGTTTTTGGTTCGACTTTTCTTGCTTCGTCGAGCATGTTGTCCATCTTTTGGTTTGGCTGTGTGTCCTTGCCTAGTTGTGCTCCTTCCAGCTGTGCTCCATCCATTTGAACTCCATTGTCTGACTCTTTGTCCGATTGTTCTCCATCTAGTTGTACTTCACATATGCTCCTCTTACGTTCCTTGTCCATAACCATGCCAATGGATCCTAGGAATGCATCAATTCTGGTACTGATTCCTCCCTATGTAGTTGACATCCTCAACCGATCCATCTTCTGCTGTGGCCTGATCAATAAACATTCCAGGCTTGACCTTTTGCGGGTTTGACGTATTCTTTAGTTCCATGTGTTGTTTGATAGCCGATAAATCAGACATGACTGCCTTCAAAGCTGCGGACTCGCCAAAATCTACCCATCCTGTAGAGCGTCTACTGCTACCTCCTGACATCCCTCTTGCCTTATCCATCTTAGCAATCTGCATCTCTAGGGTGTCAAAGGGAATGTCGTATACACTCCCTCCACAAGCTGCATCCATCCATGCTCTAGTGTCATCTCTCAGTCCGTGGATGAATGTGGAAAGCAACAACCGCTTATCCATGCCGTGGTGTGGACAAAGGCGCTGATAACCTTTGAATCTCTCCCATGCATCGTATAGACTGTTGGTTGTAATGCTCTACGATGATCCGTGATATGACATTTTGACTATGTATTAATTCATTGGTTTATGAATGCATTACTTTTCCCGTTATATGATTAGCATGTTTGTTATATTACGGTAAATATCCTTGAATCATTGCAGATGATTCTAAATTCCCTGGTCAGTTATCATTGTGGGAACAATGATGAATTAAGACCAGCATGATGTGTGATAGATGATTATGATCATATGCATTAGATGCAAATCACAATCATGGGTTCTCGTTTGGAACGAGTTACTGGATGACCCGCATGAGATTGTCACATGGACACGAGTCATGACTTGAATCTCATACAGCGGTTCGTTCTTGGATCCTCAGACCTGAGATGTCTAGAGTATCTGATATGAGGAGTGACGTGTCTTGACTGCGTCAAACGTCGTCTTTAACCGGATGATCATAACGGCGTTGCTCAGATACGTTCACGAATCATATGCAGATAGTAGACATGCAATACGGGACTTGTCACCTCCTACGCAGGAGAGATGTCGCTGGGCCCCTCGTGGAAATCGGACTGTGAAAATGCGTGGCCACGCTATAGATGAATGTACATCTATTTTATCAGTCGGTTTGCCTAGACGAGTAAGCGGTTGAACTTGAAGGGTGGCTCGAACCATGCCCTTGTTCAACATACGACATCGTGAGACAAAGGATCAGAACTCGAACTATTGCTGGCTTTGTTAGATCACCTCTAACTCTATTCTAGGTGGGTGGTCATGGCGTCTTGCTAGAGGCTAACCATGACTTGTGGTGCGGGAAAGGTTTCCGAAGCCACTGCCACTTCGAATGGGCCTACAGGGTCACACACCATTAGGGATGAATCACACGTGAAGAGAACAACGCGAGAAAAGAGCGACGAAGCGATCTGGAAGAGTTCCGCTGAGGAACGTTCGTTCCGCTGAGGAACGGACGAACCGTTCCGCAAATGCCAGACCGTCCGTTCCAGGTCTGGAACGAACGAGGTAAGTATTTGAATCCCACGACGATATACACGATTGTTCGGGTTATTGCACAATTGGTTTTGTGTGACGTTTGGCTAGGTTTAGATCTTTC